GACAGGTCCCTGGCACGGCTGTAGGCGCATCACTTCGATGGGGTGCTCGCGCGGCAGCGGGCCGCCGTGCGAAGGGCGCCCCCTCCCTCCCACCCCTCGCCTCCCTAACTCTCAGGTTCGTCAAGTCGCGCCTCGCCGACGGGCTCTGGATGTCGACGGCGGGCGGAGAGATCTCAAAGACGACGTCGGGCCAGCCGGTGGACACGCAGCTGATCGACATCCCCTTCGACCGCTGCCAGATCAAGTCGGGCGGCTACGGCATCCTCGACGTCCTCTTCCTCAAGGTTCAGCCGCCCTCGCAGCCGCGGCCGCCCACCCCCCGGCCTCCCCTCCTCCGACCCTAACCCTGACCCTAACCCACACCCAGCCCCCGGCCTCCCCTCCTCCGACCCGCGCCCGGCGCCGCCTCGCCGCAGGACTCCAACAAGGCGTGGGCGGTCGGAGGAGGCGGGACCATCTTTGGCTCCACCGACGGAGGCAGGTCCTGGCAGAAGGACAAGTCGGCGGACGACTTGCCAACCAACCTGTACAAGATCAAGTCCTTCTCCAACGGGCGCGTCTACATCCTCGGCTCAAACGGCGCGCTCTCCCCTCGCCGCGCGCTCGGGCCGCAGACCTGCACGCGGCTGAGCACTGCCCGCCGCCGCAGGCGTCCTCCTCTCGAACACGGCCTAGGCACGCCAGCCCCCTCCTCCTCTCTTGGCGGCTCCGGCAGCGCCCTCACCGCTTGGGCCTGCTCAGCATCGTAACGACAGCGTGACGCTCCGAGGGAAGGGCATCTGGGAGCGGCCTGTCGGTCGGCGCCGGTGCCGGGCCGGGTCCTCCAAGGCCACTACGTAGATTTGCACAGGCTTTGGCGCATGCGCTCATGGGGAGGGCCGGGGGAGCGGGCGGTCGGTGGGGCCGTGCTTGTGTGGCATTTTGAGATTGAGTGACGCGCTCCCTCCATGATTCTTGATCGTGGCGCGAGAACGAGAGGTACGCGCGCCTATGTGTGTTCAAAAATTTCGATAGCACACTGGGCTCACATTACACATATACCGCCACGGGGGTGACGCGGACGAGGACGGTGGACGCGCTCACGCACACGTCCGAAAAGAGAGTACAGACAAAGAATCGGAGCAGCTAC